TATATATATACATGTGAATATATATATATGTATATGTATGTATGTATGTACGGATGTATGTACGTATGTATGTATGTATGTATGTATGTATGTATGTATGTATGTATGTATACATATATTTGTAAATATACATATGCAGATGGATCCGAACCACTTCCGCCCAACGGCCTACGATGGCCCCTTAGCGGGCCTCATGAGCCCAAGAAGGTTTCCAAGACGCGTCCAAAAGGCCCTGAGAGGTCTTCGAGACGCCGTCAAAATGCTTTCCACATCCCCCATGACGCCACAATTCGTCAAGAACCTCTGCGACATCTTGCGTTTTTGTAAACCTCGTTTTTGCGTTTTCCAAGTCCGCCATGGCGCCACAATTCTTCAAGAACCTTTGCGGCATCATGCGTTTTTGTAATTCTCGTCTTCGCGCTTGCGGTAGGCTTCTCTGAGGTCTTTGGATGGCGCCCCGCTGACCCAAAGGAACCCCGCGAGGAACCCCAGAGGAGGAGGAGGAGAAAGAGGAGGAGGAGGTGGAGGATGAGGAGGAGGTGGAGGAGGAAGAGGAGGAGGAGGAGGAGGAGGTGGAGGAGGAGGAGGAGGAGGAGGAGCAAGACGGCCTCGAATATTTCCCAACTCGGTCTTTGAGGGCATCAGACGGGCCACGAACTGCTGTAAGACAGCCTAGGACACCGCCATGCAGGCCCAAAAGACCCCCAAGACACCCGAGGGAGGCCCCCGACAAGCACACGACGACGACGGGAAGACGACGAAGACGCACCCAAAACGCTACAGGGCGCAAGGACAGTTCGAACGCCTCCGACGTTGCTCAAGACGGCTCAAACGGCTGCTCCGCGGTTCCAAGATGGGCCCAGGGGGCCTGAAGAGGACTCCGCGAGACCCCGCGGCACAAACTCTAATTCGACTGCAGGTCTTGTGTGTGTGCTTTCCATGTTCTGGCCTTTTCGGTCGTTCGAGCGCTCCAGACGACCCAAGAGCCCCCCCCAAATCGCCTCAAGACGGCCCGCAAGAGTCCCGAGATAGCCCCAAGAAGGGCCTGTGCGGGCTCGAGGGGGACAATACAGTCAGGGCCCAACGCGGCCCAACAGCGCCCAAAGACGGCTTCACGATGGTCAAGAGGGCCCCGAGACGGCCCAAGAATGGCCCAATATGGCCCTCAGACACCCAAGAGACGGCCCAGAGGAGCCCGAGATGGCCCAAGAGAGCCCCGGGACGGCCCAGTAAACCCCAATGACGGCCCCCGAATGGCCCAGTACGGCCCCGGAGCACTCCCATGGGAGCACCTCCAGCGTGCGTCCAAGAGGCTCCAAGACTGCCAGCTGTGCAATTCTGCCCCCGAGAAGCCCACATCGCCTGGCTTGTCGGATCCAAGACAGCCCCGGGAGTGGTCCACAGTCACCAATCTGACACAGGTGTGTCTCGAGAGGATCCTGGAACGGCGCAACCCGATCAAACATCATACGCATTCCTCAAGGGTTTGGAGTACTCTGGCATTCCTCATATTTTTAAGTCGGGCCTGTCTCTCTACAGGAGGAATATTCAAAAATACGCAGAAAATAGTCTGGGGACGATTGTTCGAGAATTTTTTGACTATTTGGGGGGGACATGCCCGACATAATCATATCTCGGCTCAGCATTGTGCAGGCCTCGCGGCCTGCGCCGTCGACACCGACGGCGGGACCTCTCCGGGGGACCCCCCGGGCCCTCCCCCCCGGACCCGCCCGGACCCTGGGGGGGGGGCGGTTCGGAGGTGCATAGACCTCCTACCCTGACACGTCGATTAAGGAATTGGCCGTTTTCGGTTCGCGAGAGGGCGTCGCGGCCGTCATTTTTGCGGGTCTAGGTCCATCGGTTTTTGTCCCAGGCCGCTTTCACTAAGGGGAGGTTTACTAAAGGGAGGTCTGTGCACCGCCGAGCGGTACTCTGACCTGGGAGCACCCTCTCCCCCACCACAGGCGGGACCTGCCCCGGGACCCCCCCTGTCAGAGGCGACGACAGGGGCGAATAGCCCAGGGGCGAGCAATACATGTATTCAGGGGCGCGGATGAGCTATGTCTTCGAAGAGGCTCCTGGGCGAACACGTGTAATGCCCGCCCCTGGGCTATTCGCCCCTATCGTCGCCGCCGAGCCTCCAGGAACCCCACAGAAGGGGACCCCCCCTGGCCTGCCCTCCCTGTCCAGGGACCGGGGAGGGGCGGGGGGGCCGCGGGGACCCAGTTTCGGCGCAGCATGTTTTCAGGAGGGCTTCGGGTCGTCCAGCGAGGGGGCGCGGGCGCCAAGAGAGTCCCCAGACGGGTCCAGGAAGCCCCGAGCGGGCTCCAAGAGAGTTACAGAAGGCTCCCGAGTTCAGAGCTGCCTACGCGAGCTCCAAGAAACTCCCCAAACCGGCGGCGCGCCTGGGGGGAACTTGCGAAGGGGCGGGCCTTCTCAGAAGGCTCGGAAGGCCTCTGGCCTTCTGAGAAGTGTTCGAAGCCTTCACCGAAGACACGGAAACCTTCTGAGAAGGCGCCAGGGCTTCTGAGAAGCCCCGCCGCCTTCTGAGAACGCCTGCCCCCTCTCACTTCCCCCCCAGGCGCGCCGCCTACCGAAGTCCCCAAGAAGGACCAATGGCACTACAGGATGTTGCAAGAGTTTACGCAGGGACTACGAGGGCCCAAGGCTGCCCCAAGACGGTCCCAAGAAAACACAAGAGGTCCACAAGAGGACTTGGCCAAACCAGCAGTCCCGCATAGTAAGGATGGTCGACCTTTCCAAGGTAACCCTGGCATCCTTGCCTCCTCGGTCCATCCTTGGCCTCTTTCGTCGGCCGTACCCCGCTCGAGAAGCTTCGACATAGGCGTCCAAGGCCCTTGCATCCTTATCGCATATCATTATGATACTTGCCGACTTTAGGGTTAGTTTCTTGTGGACGTTGTTAGGGCTGTTGCTTTATTGTAGGTGCCCTATATGGTTGGTGCCCTTTAGCCTCTACTACTGCTACTGCAGTTGCTGCCACTGTTTTGTTGCTTCCACTTGTGCTTGTATTGATTCTACCTATTGCTGCTGCTGCTTCTGCTGATACCATTGCTGCTACCACTGCTGCTATTATCTTTTGTTGTCATCATGATTACGACCACTATTACTACGACTACTATTATTATTATTGTTGCTACTGCTACTACAACTGCAATTACTACTACTACTACTACTACTACTACTACTACTACTACTACTACTACTACTACTACTCTTACTATTACTACTACTATTACCACTACTACTACTACTACTACTACTACTACTACTACTACTACGACTACGACTACTACTACGACTACGACTACTACTATTACCTCTATTACTACTACTGCGGCTACTGCTTTGACTACTACTACTACTACTACTACTACTACTACTTCAACTACTACTACTACTACTACTAATATTACTGCTACTAATACTACTCATACTACTTCTACTCCTGCTATCCCTGCTACTACTACTACTACTACTACTACTACTACTACTACTACTACTACTGCCACTACTACTATTACTATTACTACTACTATTACCACTACTACTACTACTACTACTACTACGACTACTATTCATACTACTGCTGTTACTACTACTACTACTACTACTACTACTACTACTACTGCGACCAAGACGAGTACGACTACGATTACGACGACGACGACGACTACTAATACTCCTATTATTTCTGTTACTACTACTACTACTACTACCACGACGACTACCACTAGTACGAGTACTAGTACTAGTAGTAGTACTACTACTACTACCACTGCTACTACTCTTACTACGACGATTACGGCTACTACTATTACTATTACTATTTCTATTACTACTACTATTGCTACTTCTACTAATGGTACTGCTTCTACTACTACAATTACTTGTATTCCCACCACTACTATTACGACTACGGCTACGACTACGTCTACGACTACGGCTGCGACTACGACTACGATTATTCCGACGACTACTACTACTACTGCTACTACTAGTACTAGTACTCGTACTCGTACTAGTACTACTACTACCACCAACACTACTACCACCACCACTACTACTACTACTACTACTACTACTACTTCTACTACTACTACTACTACTACTACTACTACTACTACTACTACTACTACTACTACTACAACTACAACTACCACTATTGCTACTACTAGTACAACTACTGTTACTTCTACTACGATGGCTACTGCTGCTACCACTACTACTACTACTCCTACTCCTACTCCTACTGCCACTACTACTCCTACTACCACTACTACTCCTACTCCTACTCCTACTACTACTGCTACTACTACTACTACTGCTACTACTACTACTACTACTGCTACTACTACTACTATTACTATCACCACTATTCGTACTACTACTTCGAGTACTACTACTACTACGACTACTACTACTACTACTACTACTACTACTACTACTACTACTACTACTACTACTACTACTACTGCTACTGCTACTACTACTACTACTGCCACTACTACTACCACTGCTACTACCACTACTATACTGCGACTGCAGTGCTATTTCGGTGGAAGAGTTTGCGTGATAACGGGAACGGGAGGTGGGGGAGCAGAGGGAGGATAACGGGAGTTGGAAAAGGTGGCTGTGCATTATGGGATTCGATCATTGACCGTCTGTTTTGGAGACCTTGCCCTGGTCTGCGCTAGAAGCTTCGCGCGCGCGAAATTCGCACGTGGTTCTAGTATACATTCATAAACACTCTATAATACATACACGTGTGCATCTCTGTATCTGACTCCCATTATCTCCCTTCCTTTTCTCTCGTGCCCTGCCCCTCTACACTCTTCTTTTCACTTTTCTCCGCTGCTCTCCTCGTATGTTTTGTTTTCTGTTTCTTCTTTCTTTTTTCTGTCTCTGTCTCTATCGGTCTGTATTTCTTTGTTTTGTTTGTTGTGCTCTCACTCTGTCTCTCTCCTCCTCCCAGTCAGGCAACGGAACCGTGCATCAGCGTCGCCGCCAGCAGCAGAAAGCCCGCGCTCGTGGTCCCGTGTAACGAGTGCATCAGGTTTTTCCCGCCGTCGAACCCAACGTACGATGGCCCCCTGGCTGCCAGCAGAAGGGAGGAACACATAAGCATGGATGGAGGAGGAGGAACAGCGAGAGACGGGAGGAGAGAGAGGATCATGAGGATGGGAATGAGATTGGTAATGCCAGGCCGCTCCGTGAAGCTGGCCCGAGCACCTGGCCGGGGTATCCCGTAACGCCCACTGTCGAGCCGGCCTCTCAGCCTATCTTCGAACTTTCGGTCGTACAAAGCGGTGGGTTCGAACGCCCCCTCTGCGTGGTTGGTGCCCTCAGTGAGTACGCTTCAGCGGCCTTCGCTCAGCGGCCTTCGTTTAGCCCGCTTAGCCCGCTTGACCTGTGGGCCCTCCGTCAGCGGCCCTCGCTTGACCCGCTTGCTGGCATGGCAGCTGCAGACCCTGCAACACAGCAAACTGAGCCTCGTGTCAAGATTCATGCACTGGCTCTTGTCCTCCCAGCCCCAAGCTGAGTGACGCTTATCTCCTGCCGCGAGAACTGAAAGCTTCCCGTTGAGATGCAGGTGTCGGAGACAGAAGTCCAGAGGTTCGCTCTGGCAGTAGAAGCCGTCCCGAACCGTGTAGTGCATTTCGAATGTCTACTGCTATCGTCCAGCACGTACTTTTGCTCAGATTAGGCAGCATTGCCCCCGAGGGATGAAGATGTGAGGAGGAGGAGGAGCCAGTCCCTTCTACTTTGTGCCCATCCCAGGCCTAGATGCAATCCAGTGCCGTTCAAAGTAGCCGTTGGCGAACAAGGCATCCTTGATGGTCGACTTCTGAGATGTTGATTAGTACGCTATGAGGTAACCTGATATCTCAGGCCCTCTGAGAAGGAGGAGGAGGAGGAGGGGGAGGGGGGAGGGGGAGGGGGGGTAGGAGGGGAGGAGGAGGAGGAGGAGGAGGAGAGGAGGAGGAGGAGGGGAGGAGGAGGAGGAGGGAGGAGGAGAGGAGGAGGAGGAGGAGGAGGAGGAGGAGGAGAGGACCCACAAGCTTGTCGATGATGGTGTTGCTGGCTATCATCCAGGGGGGGGGCGGCGCCCAGCTTCCGAGTTCTGGCTTCAGCTGTCACGCCCTCAGTGCAGGACTGAAACAAGGACGAGGATGGAGAGGAGCAGGAGGAGGGGGGGGGGGGGGGTAAGGAGGAGGAGGAGGCGGAGGAGGAGAGGAGGAGGAGGAGGAGGAGGATGAGGAGGAGGAGGAGAGGGATGAAGGGGGGAGGAGGAGGAGGAGGAGGAGGAGGAGGAGGAGGAGGAGGAGGAGGAGGAGGAGGAGGAGGAGAGAGGAGAAGGAGGGGAGGGGAGGGGGAGAGGGGTGGGGAGGGGAAGGGGGAGGTGGAGGGGCAGGATGGGCAGTATGGACAGGAGGAGGGGGCAGGGGAGGAGGAGGGTGGGGAGAAGGAAGCAGAGAGGCAGGGTGGGGCAGGAGGTGGGGAGCGGAAATGATGAGGAGGAAGGGATGAAGGGGCACTTGATCGGCTGACGCAAGGGGGAGTCGTCCGTGACAGCCAATCTGCGAGCCAGGCTACGTGCAGGCGTGCATGAACCAGTCCAGCTGGCACGGAGGCAGTCGGGGAGGGGGACATCGCAGCGGCTCGGGCTATCAGACCTCGCTCACCAGCATGGTTCCTCCCTTCGCCACCATTGTCACCATCAGTCGCCCCCTCTCCCCTCCACAGATCCCCGACGTCTTGAAAAACACGAGGCGTGATTTTGTTTGGTTTCGACCCCAAGGTGAGGGCTTGACGACCTTTCGCCAATCGACTTGTGGGAGCGAGCCAGATAGATCAAGGCACTTGCAGAGAATCCAGGCACATCCAAGTAAATTCAGGTACATCCAGAGATCCCGAGGGAGCTTCGGAGCAACTCGGCCGCTCCAGCGCGAGTCGAGGGACGCAGACGTCGTGAAGCCCTCCACGGTTCAAGCTCACGGGATCGCTCTCAGGCCGCGAGGCAGGAGAACAGAGCGGCCCGCATTGGGCATCACCCCCCCCCCAGGGGCGACGTGCGCACCGAGACATCCTGTAGTATATGCGTGTCCTGGCGGGCGCCTTCTGGCCACACCGCTCGTGAAACGATTTATTACAAGATGGGTACACTACACGTTCGGGTCGGACGCGCGCCTCCAAGGAGGACACACAGTACTGGTATGTCGCCGTGCGTTGCATCTCAGGCCGCGGGATAGGAGAACAGAACGGCCCACGAGGGAAAACCGGCCCCAGGGGTGGGGTCGAGCTGCTTCCCACGGACTGCAACAACCAGAGCGCCGAAGCTTCGGGCCCGAGAAGGGGGAGGGGGGGGTGGAGCGAGAGGAAGAAAAACAGCAGAAGGAGGGAGAAGTACGAGGGAGGAGGGAACGATAGGTAGGAGGGGAGGAGGTGTAGGAGGGAGAGAAGGAGTGGTAGGAGGGGGTATGAGGCGGTAGGAGGGAGGGGTCGAAAGGGAGGAGGGGGAGGAGGGGAGGGGGGGTAGGAGGGAGGAGGGGAGAAAAGGGAAGTGGATGTTGAGGCAGGAAGACGCGTACGACTGCCCGTGCCAGGCCTCTGGGCGCGGGGCCGCGTGGGGCTGCGGGAGAGGGCAGCGATCGGCCGACTCCTCCTGGTCCTCCGCCGCCCTCCTCCTCCTCCTCCTTCTCCTCCACCGCCCTCCTCCTCCTCCTCCACCGCCCTCCTACTCTTCGTCGTCGTCGTCGTCCTCCTCCTCCTCCTTCACCGCACTCCTCCTCCTCCTCCTCCTCCTCCTCCTCCTCCTCCTCCTCCTCCTCCTCTTCCTCCAACTTCACAATTGCACCTGTCTCGGCGCGCTCGGATTCGCTTTTGTGGTGCCTCCTCCACGAGGGGCGGATGTGAGAAGGAGAAGGCCTTCTCAGAAGGCGGCGGGCCACCTTAGAAGCCCTCGCGCCTTCTGAGAAGTTTTCTGTGTCTTCGGGTAAGACTTAGACAACTTCTCATAAGGCTGGGGAACTTCCGAATCTTCCGAGAAGGCCCGCCCCTTCTCACTTCCCCCCCTGGCGCGCCGCCTATACACATTCAGAATGCTACTCTCCTCTCTCCCCTGACAGTCCAGAAAATGTGTGGCCCTTTCTGCGTATTATTTTTTGCACGGGATTGGACAACATTGTTTTTTTCTTTTCGTGTGTTCTTGTCCGATTGTTCGTGGTGTTTCAAAATCGTGCTCTCGCTGCAGCTTGAGCATCATTTTCGGATCGTTACCTTGTCCCTCTCCCTCTCCCTCTCCCTCTTCCTCTCCGATGATGATGAGGAGGATGAGGATGAGGATGAGGATGAGGATGAGGATGAGGATGAGGATGAGGATGAGGATGATGATGAGGAGGAGGAGGAGGAGGAGGAGGAGAGGAGGTGGAGGACGACGAGGAGGAGGCGGAGCAGGAGCAGGAGCAGGAGCAGGAGCAGGAGGAGGAGCAGGAGCAGGAGGAGGAGGAGGAGAAGGAGGAGGAGGAGGAGGCATCCCTCCCCATCCTCCCTCCTCCCCCGCCCTCCCTTCGGCAGTGATGGCGGACGATCGGCCCCTCGCCCGCTCCGCCTCCTCCGGCGCCCGCTCCTGCCCCCTCGCGCCCGCGGGCGGCGCGAGCGCGGGCAGGCCAGTTCGAGACCGGGCTCCTGAGCAACAGCCCCTTCGTCCGGCTCACGGGCTGCCCTTCCGTGCGCGTGCCCGCGCGCGTGCGTGCCCAGTTTTTTGGGGGGTCCAGGGCGCCCGCCCCCCCCACGGGTCAGGGGCAAGGATCGGTGGGGGCAGGGCGTAGGTCGGCGGCGAGCGGGGTGGGAAGTGAGAAGGAGGAGGAAGAGGAGGAGGAGTGAGGAGGAGGAGGAGGGAAGGAGGAGGAGGAGGAGGGGGAGAGGGAGGGAGGGGGGGAGGGAGGGAGGAGGGAGGGAGGGAGGGAGGGGAGGGAGGTGAGGGAGGGAGAGGAGGAGGAAGGAGGAGGAGGAGTAGGAGGAGGAGGGCGGAGGGAGGGAGGGAGGGGGAGGGATGGAGGAGGAGGGAGGAGAGGAGGAGGAGGAGGAGGAGGAGGGGGGAGGGGTGTGAGGAGCAGGAGGAGGAGGAGGAGGAGGAGGAGGAGGAGGAGGAAGGAGGAGGAGGAGGAGGATGAGGGGAGGAGAAGGAGGAGGAGGCGGTGCCGACGACGACGACGACGCTGAGGACGAGGACGCGGACGAGAAAGAGGAGGAGGGGGAAGAGGAGGAGGAGGAGGAGGAGGAGGAGGAGGAGGAGGAGGATGAGGAGGAGGAGGAGGAGGCGGTGCCGATGCCGCTGCTCGTGCTGGAGTTCCCTCGGCGGCGGCGAGCGAGGGGGGACACAAAAAGGAGAAGGCCTTCTTAGAAGGCGGTGGGCCTTCTCAGAAGCCCTCGCGCCTTCTGAGAAGCTTTCTGTGTGCCTTCGGGAAGGCTTATAACACTTCTCAGGAGGCCGGGGGATTTCCAAGCCTTCTGAGAAGGCCCTCCTTTGCTCACTTCCCCGCTGGGCTCGCCGCCGAATAGGGGGCGATGCATCGACCCCCGATTGCCCATTGATCGCCGATAGGGGCCCGATAGCCCCAACCTGCCCAGGAACGCGCGGATTCACCATCGGGGGCCTGTCGCCGATCTACCGACCTATCGGCGATGCATCGCCGATTCTAGGCCGACGTCTCCCCCCCAACCTCCACTACCCCCCCTATCGTTACCCCAAATGGGGAGTTTGAGGAGGGGGGGGGCGTCCGTGAGGGGGCGGATAGGTGTGTATGTGTGTGTGTGTGTGGATCTGATGGCCAGGATCATGGTATCTTTCCGATATCATGGCCCCCTCTCCTTCTTTGAACTCGTTCCCTGCCCCCGCCTCGTCCGCACACGCGCCTCGGGTCATGGTGCGCCCCCCGCCCCCCTTCTTCGTTGTCCCCCGCTTCTCGGCGCACCCGAGGGAGGGGGGGCATTTGGGGGGACTTTTGGTGGATGGGGGAGGATGATGAGAAGCACGAGGAGGATCGCGCGCCGATCCGCTGCGTCCCGCGGGGCAGAGGATCGTTTCCAGCTCATGGCCACTAGAGCGCTTCGGCGGAACATGACACACACACAAACACAAGCACAAACACAAACACAAACACAAACACACACACAAGCACAAGCACAAGCACACACACACACACACACTTTTATCCAATGAAGGGCCGGCGCGCGATCCGACCTGTGGCATTTGCCACGGGCCAGTGAATCATGATGATATGTGTGCAGACCATCAAAAACAGTGACGTGAGGTATCAAGTTAGTGAATGCAGACGCAAATGCCGCAACATCTAGCTTACATCATGGTGCCGTGCTGTAAGGTAACATGTGTGATCGATCGGCTGACGCGAGCGATGATGTCGACACTGATGACGAATCTGAGATTGACGATGATGATGGTGATGCTGGCCATTCATATGATGGTGATGGTTATGGCGATAATGATAAAGATGCTGATGGTGGTACTTGCGCGATGGTGATTCAAATGATGCTGATGCTGATGATGCTGCTGCTGCTGCTGATGCTGATGATGATGATGATGATGATGATGATGATGATGATGACGATGCTGATTCTGATTGTGATGCTGATGCTGCTGATGCTGATGCTGATGCTGATGCTGATGTTGCTGTTGCTGATGCTGCTGATGATGATGATGAGGATGATGATAATGCTGTTGATGGCTGTGACGGTAGTGATGATGTGGGTGATGACGATGATGCTCAGTATGATGTTGATGCTGACGTTGTTGATTGACACGTGCACTGGCCGCCTGGCCACCCCCCTACCAACAGCGACAACCCCAACAACCCCCCAGCGGGGCCTCCGCTCCCCCCGGGGGGGGGCCAGGCTGCGGTGTCCTGGGTGCCCCCCTATCGATCGATCCTCGATCGATCCTCCTCGCGAGAGATCGATCGAGGATCGATCGATCGAGAGGGGCCCGCCTCCGGTGACGCAGGGGTCAGCCCGCCGCCGAGAGCGACGTACATCAGGAGGGGAAAAAACACACAGACACAATTATTCGTCGATTCCTAGAAAATATGGGAAAATATGGGAAGTGGGGGGGAAGACGAAAACCCAGAAACCATAGGAAAATATGGGGAATTCTTTTATTTGTGTATATTTATTTGTGTGTTGGTGGGCCCATTCAGTATAGAGCTCCTGCAGGCTGTGCTCGTCGGGCGATCGCAGACATGGATCACGCGGGCGTGGATGAGCGACGGGTCCCGTTTCCATGGGAATTCGCAGATGTCCGCCGCCGACCGGGGCGGCAGCGGCCACATTTTGGGGAGGGCACCTCCCCCGATCCTCGGCTTTGGCGACCGCGCCCCAAGTCCATGGATCGCTGGTCCACCTTTGCGCGAGCTCGTAGGTGGCGCAGCGGGCGACTTCGTGCATCAGTCAGGAGGATAAAAAACACGCACAGACACACTTAATCGTCGATTCCCAGAACATATGGGAAAATGTGGGAAGTGGGGGGGAAGACAAAAACCCAGAAAATATAGGAAAATATGGGGAATCCTGTTCTTTGTGTGTCTTTACTTGTGTGTCCCAGGGCCCCTTCAGTGTCGCGCGCGCCGGTTTTGCTCTAGCGCAGCCAGCGCGAGCTCCAATCCAGGATCGCTGCGGGCGCGATCGCTTGCGCATGCACTGCGCGAGCTTCAGCACCTGGCGTTTGTCCGTTGTCACTGTGATGAAGCGCGCGCCCCGACGCGGGCGCCTGCGTCTGCCTGGGCCGATTGGGTGGACACTGCGAGATTTTGCATGTTTAGGGGTCTCTCGTGGTTTTCGTTGGCTCGGTTTCTTTGCGTTCTTGGCGCGTGAAGGCATCCGGCAGAATCGCCCATACGATGCAGGTGGCGCGCATTCTTCATCTGCTATCATTGTGTTTCGGGGGGGGGGCGTGCGCAAGTGGCAGTTCAACCTACTGCAATGCAAGCACATTCAAACATCAAAACTCATGTACTTCCTGCTCGCCCGCGCCCCCTGACCCCCCTCCCGCGGCAATCCCCCCCAGAAGACCAGTCCCAATCTGCATTTTCGTGGTGGGAGTAGTCTGTGAGATCGTGCTCTCTCTGGGGCTTTCGAGGTTCTCGCTGGGCGGCCTCGGAGACCGTTGAAAATTGCGGCGCAATCGATTGGCCCCTCCGTCGGAGGCAGACAAGTTGCTTCTTGGAGTTTTCTTCGGTTTATCTCGGAGAGCGCCAAGTGGCTTCGGAGGCTGTGCCGGTGCTAATTTCTGGGCCCGTTGCGGGTTTATCTCGGGCCGTTTTGGAGCCATGTTGATTCCACGTGTTCCAGTCATCCCCCCCCTCTTCTTCCTCCTCGCCCTCCTCTTCTTCATCGTCGTCACTGTTCTGCTGCGGCGTGCTTTTCCGATCGAGCTGCTTCGCCACCTCCGCGAGGAGGTCGGTGGATTGTCAGGCACGCGTGCCCAGACCTCAAGCGGGTTAGTGTTTGGATCCCGGCCGCCTTTTTGCTTCAGCTTTCGCTCAGGAGGGGAACGAAACACACAGACACAATTAATCGTCGACCCCCAGGAAAACACGGGAAAGTATGGGACGTGGGGGGGAAGACAGAAACCCCGAAGATATGGGAAAACATGGGGACTCTTTATTTGTGTGTATTTATTTGTGTGTGTCCTGGGGCCCCTTCATTGGCCACGGGGGGCCTCCCCGCTTCGGCGCCTCGCCGAGGCATCGGCGATGCACATCAGTGCTGCGGCTCGCTGCGGGGCCCACTTTGTCTCCACGCCGCCGTCGCCGACGCGTCGCCGCGCCGGTGCCTGGCCGGTGCGGTGCCGATGCGTCGGCGCGGTGCCGACGCATCGGCGACGCATCGGCATCGGTGGTGCGGCGAGATCCACCGAGAACCGATCCGTTCGGACCCCATCCATGAGGCCTCTGCTCTTCGCATCTGCCTCCTCCACGCGTCTGTCTCGTGTCTGTTTCCTCCACATGCCCCATCGTTCTCCTTTCGTTTTCTTCTTTACTCCTCCATCATCCTTCTCTTTCCCTCCTCCCTCGTCCCTCTTTCTTCGTCCCTCCTCCCTCCTTCATCCTTTCTTCCCTCCCCCTACATTCCTCCTCCCTCCTTTTCCTTCTCCTCACGAGCCATGGTTGATCCGCCATTCCAGACAGCTTTAGTGAGTGCGATTCTTGCGCTCTCCGAGCAATTCGGCCCTGGCTTTGCCTCGGCTTGTCTTCGGCTGTCACGCGGCTGTCCCGCGGTTGTCCCACGATTGTCCCGCGGCTTTGCCGAGGTGTCCAGCGCCGCGAATCAACGTTACTATGCGTCCTGGCGATCCTGCATCTTGCCAGAACACCATTCCTGGGACTTCAGCGCCGCGAGTCAACGTAACTGTTTCGCCCCGACAGTCCTGCACCGTGCTAAAACACAAATTTTGGAACGCCAGCCATACTACCCCTCGAAACTGTTGTAAGCTCTTGGGACGAATCTTCGCGGCGCTACAGCGATAAACACAGTTTGAACATGTATCGCCCTCCATCCGTGAAGCTTTGGCGCACTGTGAGACGAGTGTGCGCAGCGCTGAAGCGGTGACCGCATTGTGAAACCACCCGCCCTCGAGCCGTGAAGCTTTTGCAGTTTGTCAAAACGCATGTGCGCGGCCCTGATGCGAGACTTGCATTTTGAAGAGGTGCCGCACCCCAATCCGTGAACCTTCCAACTTTCAGGACGAATGTGCGCGACATTCATCAGGAGGGAAAAATATACAGACACAATTAATCGTCGACTCCCAGGAAAATATGGGAAAATATGGGAAGTGGGGGGGAAGACAACAATCCAGAACATATGGGAAAACATGGGGAATCCTTTTATTTGTGTGTATTAGTTGTGTGTCCCAGGGCCCCGTCAATGCAGGCGGAGACCGCATCTTGAAGCCCGCCCGCTCTCCACGCGCGGAGTCCTTCACTTTCCAGGCGGCTGTGCATGGCGTTGAGGCGAGGGCCACGTTCTGGAACACGACCCGCCTTCCATGCGTGGAGCTGCTGCGAGGCTTCCGCTTCAGGTTCGTAGACTGGAAACGGCGTGTCGGGCGATGTGCCCAACCAGCTCCACGGACACGTTTCGGGGTGCGACATGGAGGAGTTTGTTAGAAGGAACAGGGATGGGAGGAGGAGGAGGAGGAGGAGGAGGAGGAGGAGGAGGAGGAGGAGGAGGAGGAGGAGGAGGAGGAGAAGCAGGAGGACCGCCAGGTTCGCGCTTGTGCAGTCGCCCTCCCCGTCCTGGAAGGAGAAGGCGCTGACCGCAGAGAGCGAGGAAGCGGAGCTGAGGGCGCCCACCCGCTACCACAACGACCCCTGTCTCAGACTGACGGGATAGGAGGAGGAACAGGAGGATGAGGAGGATGCGGAGGAGGAGGATGAGGAGGAGGAGGAGGAGGAGGACTTGAGGTAATATGGCTTCGGGGCACATGAACCAGTTAGTGGGCCCAGTTTCGTGGAGCCCCTCCCTGAAGGGCACGGCGGCCCAATGGTGCGAATGGCCCGGGGTTGTGGTACAGGCCACACGGGGCGAGGCAGTTCAGGGCTGGGAGCCAGCCAGAGTCGCAGGAGGGGTCCCAAGAAAGGCCCCCAGGGCAGTAACAGGAGGACCCACAAGTGAAACCAACAGCGTCGATCTTATCTGTTGGAATCTGCCGGAGCAGCAGGAAGGCCTCCAGAGGGTCCCAAGAGGAACCACGTCGGTCACAATATTGCCCACGAGGCAGGTCTACAGCATAGTTGTTTTTTCGTCGGGAGAAGGCCACTCCCAGGTATCTAGGGCCTCGCAAACCAGGGGATGTGTTCACACTGGTCTTTGTGACGTGCGAGCGGTGCAGCTGGACTTTGGTGCACATCTGGCATACCAGAGGATTTCTTGATCGAGTATGGGCGTGAAGCGCATGTCCGAATCCCGCAGAAGCAGCCAGGGTGGTGTACCAGAAAGTGCAGGCTACACCTGAAAACTAAGCACAACATTATTGTGATTCGTGGGTAGGTTCTTATTGGTCACGCGTCCGGAACAGAGATTTATACCATTGCGTAAAGGTTCTCTTGCCAGCCACGCGACTGGGACAGAGATTCGCACAATTTGGTCCCCCTCCTGGAGATGAATTGGGCAGGTGACGAATGGAGCAACGAAAATGGCACGACGTTCGGTGCCACGCCATCCTTCCGAGGATGGGCTGGCATCCCCCAGAATATATGTGTATTTGCGGTCGGATGGGCTGGCACGCCCAAGCGACGTCTTGCGCATGTGGCCGCAACTCAGCCTCCAAGCAGCCATCGAAGATTCTTGAAAGGGGGAGTGTAGCCATTTCCGATGGAGCATAATAGGATTGACGGGGTAAGTTCCCAGAGAGTTACCCGTGACATGTATTGCCCGGCTGATGGGCCTCCACCATGCAGGCAATCCCCGATTGTGTCGGCCAATTGTTTCGGATGCAACTCTTGGGAGGTCAAATTCTGATTTTGCCCTGGTCCGAAATCCGGCGTAATCCAGCTTAATCCCGTTCAATCCCGCTTAATATCGCTTAATCCCGCTGAATCTGGCTTCATCCCGCTTGATCCGAGGCCCACTCCGGCGTAACAGCTCCCAAATGGGGCTTCATCCTCCTTCATCTTTCCGACGAGAACCTCCCAGTAGTTGCCTCCTAAAGTTGTGCTGGACCTGTAAACTGGGCCATCAGCAGGTTATGAGGACATTCCTGGAGGCCTCGCGCGCCGCGTAATAGTAGTATGATCTAGTCCACTTGTCAGCTCCGTAAGCTATGGGTCGACGCTCGTGCGGCGATGCTCAGGAGTCAGTCCGACGTGAACCCGACGTAAATCCGACGTAGATCCGACGTAAATCCGACGAGAATCTCCGAGTAGTTAACTCCTAAAATTGTGCTGGACCTGTAAACTGGGCCATCAGCAGGG